GGTGGGGCAGGGGTGGTGGTGTGGGGTAGGGTAGGGTGTGGTGTGGGGTAGGGCAGGGGTGGTGTAAGGGTAAGGTGGGAGCCTGGAGATAAGAGGGTTGCTGGGGCTGGCCGGCTGCAGGCCTGGCCCAGCTTCCGAGTTAGTGAGAGACCCCGTTTCACAGGCGTGGGCAGAGAGTGGCGCTATACCTGGCGCTACCCCTGCTCTCTGAACGCATACAGAACATCCACACACTCACATATACACGTATGCCCACCCCACCCCCTACACACATAATTTTATTCCTCTCATAGTTTATGGCAAACCCAGTCACGTTTTCTAAGCTGTAATTCTAGGAGTTAGAACGTTTGGTGACTGTCCACTGTGATGTCTTAGCATCAGGGAAAAAAAGAAAGCATGAGGCCAGTGCACGAGACACTAAATACCTTAGTGACATGTGACATTTCTGCTCACGTCCCATTGGCCGGAACCACTTATGTTATAGTCCCGAGTGCCAGTCTGGAGCTGTGGGAAGCGGGCAGGTGTGGCATATATCAGCTGTGAATGTCACACACTCCCCCAGATAGAGGTGGAAAGTTTGAGTTGGATTTGAGGAAGAGGAAGAACCAGTGATTAATGCGTGAAAGTCAAGTGCATGGAGCTGGCAGTCAAGGCTGCGGGAGTGGACTCAGCCAGGAGCTGCCTGGAGTAAGACCTGGGGACAGACCTGGGCGTGTTGGCCCTGGAGAGGGCAGAACACCATCTACAGGGTGCTTGCTCCTGCTGCTCCTGGTGGCAGGAGGTCTCCCACACTGCTTGCCTGGCACCCTGCAGATCTGCCATTATGTGGGGCCAGCACGTTGTGTGTCCTTCTGTGGTGTGTGATAGCACACAGTGTTTCTGTCCTCCTTGGACTCAGGGACTCTGATTCTTCACACAAGACTGTGAAATCATTTCTCTTCAGGGCTCCGAAGCCAGGGGCTCTCAAGACAAACCCATCTGTTTCATGGGCTGCTGGTGTCAAGGAACATCTGCTGGGATTTTGTCAGCTGCCCCCTTTGTCATTTTCTTGGGGGTCTTTGTCCTGAATTCCCGAGTTAGGTCTCTCATGGAGGGAAGTGAGCCAGATGGTGCCACATCTCCCATCCTGTTAGCCTGGCTGTCTTACAATTTAGATCAACCTGATAGAGACGGTTGTTATAAATATTCATGCTTAGGTACAAGAAATAATTAATGAGTTAGTAGTATGCATCCTCAGGTCTTCCTGGAAGTGTTAATAGATCAGCATTCTAAAACTGAGGAGGACAATCTGAGTTCTGAAATCACCTGGCCCCCAAGGACCCCAGAAAGGCCCATTACCCTGTGCACGTAGCTGCTGATGGGTGTGTCAGGGCTTTGGCTCTGACCTCTGACCTCCTGTTGCTCTAAGAGTTGTCTCCGCACATGGAGGACATGATGGAGATGTGAGGGGACCTGTCTCCAGGGAGTGGAGCATACTCAAGCTTAGCACCTAGACTTCAGGGTTTAATAGAAATCCCCTTCCTCTGTGCTGCAATGGACAGGGCTTATTGAGGGTTTGCAAATGCCATCGTCCTAGTTACTTTTCTGTTGTGATAAAATGGCAGACAAGAGCAACTTAAGGGAGAAAGGGCCTTTCTGACTCATGGTTTGAGGGAACAAGTGCAGTCCATTATGATGGGAGGTCGTAGAGGCAGGACCTTGAGGCAGCTGGTCACATCTGCAGTCAAGAAGCAGAGAGAGATGAGTGCTTGTATTTATGAAGTCCAGGACCCCAGCCCATTGGAATGGTGCCACCCTCTGGTAGGATGGGTCTTCCCCAATTAGCATAATTGCCATGGTTCTTCCCAGGCATGCCAGAGGCTAACCTATTCTAAATAATCCTAGACAAGTTGCTTGTGTATGCTTGAAGGCTTGCCTCCCAGCTGATCCCAGGTCCTGTCCAGTTGATAATATACGGTGACCATCACACTGTTGTGTGACTTGTCCTGGGAGACATGAACACATGTCTGTTTGCCCCAGACAGGCTGAAGAAATAATTCCATGCAGGTCTAGCGAACCTTATGATGTGAGGTTACTTGAGTATGGGAGATTCACAGGCAGCTGTCACTGAAGAGCCCACCCCAGCACAGGGATGATTCACAAAACCCTGGTGTTCCCTGTTGAACTTGCAGGCAGCTACAAAGAAGCGTCTCCTCCCACGATCAACTGCCACTGCTCATATCATCTCGGGGAGGGGCTTAGTGACTCTTAACCTTCTGAGTTTCCCCAGTCTTGTAAGTCTCTGGCTCTGGAGTCATAGAACCCTCCCTCTAGGAGGGAGAGTTGCAGTTGGCAGTTAGCTACATATGCCTCACAGCAAATCAGATATTAATGCACACAGGTACAAGCTCACTAATTCTGCAGGGATTCAGAAACTGCAAGTGCACAGTACTGAATCTAAGAGATGGGTGCACCCAGATGCATGCCCACTAGTTTTTACTGACTATGAATGAGTGCATAATAAACACTCACTAATTCTCTGGGAGTTCTTTCTCACACCACTGAT